CTCCAGGGAGGTGTTCAGCAAAGCAAGAGGGGAGCTGCATCCTTGGGGGAAAGGTCACCCCCCTTCTTGGGAGCCATCAAAGGCACCTTCAGACTGAGCCATGGGAAAGAATAAAGTGTCCTATGCTACAGACATCAGTGAAAAGCTTTGCATGGGCTCTTTAGAAGCTTTTTAGCTTCAGAAAGCCTCAGCATCCTTGTAGGCTTCCTTAGGCTCCAAGTAACATGCCAGGGGACCCACCATTTGTGGGTGGGCAGGGTCATACCCAGGAGGTCAGAACCCTGTTGTACAGCAGATGGAAGATGAGACTCCATGCCTCCTCCAATCTGCCCTTCCTGATCCATCTTGTCAATGGGAATATTTGGAAGAGCTGATGCGTTACATCTTTTCCCCAGTTTTCCCTAGGATTAGGAAAAGCACCAAAGCAGAGTATGAGAAAGGCTTTTGTATTCTGCTAGAGACAGATGTAAGCAGATGAAGTTCTCATCTCTGAGGAAGGTCTGGATTAGATTAGGATTTACAGTTTTCCCTTCACATAGCTCTGATTCCCCATAGAGCTGCGTGCCCCTGCAGCTCTCTTGGTTATTTCCCCCCTGTTCAGGTGTAGATGTGCAGTGCCTCTAGGTGCAACTCCTCAGGCGTGTGGTTTCACCCTTGGTGCAGAGTCATGGTAACACAAGAGCACACTCACACACATGTTTCCAGTTCAGTAAGTTCAAATTGGGGTCCCCACATACTTCAGATGGAGGTCTGCAAGGGGGCATGGAGATGCTGTCACCCCCTGGCCCAGAGAAGAGCTCTGATGAAAGGCATACAGAAAACAGATTTCTGTTACATCACAGTTGTTTCACAAATCAACCTTATTTACCAATTACTCTTTTTTTGCCTTCCATTTTGTAGCTGTAAATGGTTCACGGCTTGTGCCTGTACCTTTGATCTCCTAGTAGCAGCTTTAGCTCCTACCATAAAATTAATGAAAATGAATTTCATGCTCAGTGCTCATACTGTGGAACAGGAGACAAGGCTAAAGCATCTTTAACATTTCTCTGGCAGAGCACGTACATAGAAAAAAATGATAAGGAAGTAGTCTGAGCTATATTTGCAGCCAACAGCACTTTCTTTCCCACAAGTAAAGACATTTCCATGTGTTCAGACCCTGTTCTCGCATGGGGGAGGACACTTTGAGGTGGATCTGTGAGCCCAAGGTCATTTAGGTACCTATGAAAAACAAGGCTCCTAAGAACAGGCATAAAAGCTTTTGATATCTGTTCAGATGCTTGCTCCATCCGGAAGCTTTCAGCTGTTTATATTAGCTCTGTAATTTAGCATTTTGAGGCATTAACTTCCCACTGAAGCTGTTGTTTGAAAAGAGCAGATTTCATGTAGCTCATAAAGAATTTAGTACAGTTGTATCCCATGCTGAGCAGACACTTAATCACCTATAGACTTCCTGTGCGAGAGCAGTCCTGTGGAGGCCCATGAAGCTATTCGCACAAGTGAAGTTAATTGCCCATTTGTTCTAGCATTTGCCAAACCAAGGCTTTGATTCTCAAGTGTTTCACGGTGCTTTCCTGCATCAGCGCTAGCCCTGTAAAATTCACATGCGACAGCTTGCTAGCAGGGAAGCAGCTCACCCTTATAATTCATTTCATTTGAGCTATCAAGCAATGGTTACAATAGCAGTTTTTGGAATCAGTTTTACAGATCTTAAAGCTGGTTTAGATCAAGTTTGGGGGGTTGTTTAAATGATTTATCACCCTTTATTGTACTCCCACTGAGGCAGACCTGCAGGGCAATGGCTACAGGAGAGAACACAACCTCTCCACCAACCCCAGGTCTGCCCCTGTTCCACCCTCCCTCGGACATTGCTTCCACCTCATAAAATTGCCCAATTTTTGCCCTCATACCTGCTCCAAAAGCCATGGCTTTTTCCTCTCTGCAAGCATAGGAGCTCCCAGGGGCAGGCAGAGGGGATACAGCTGAGCTTGGCAGCATCCCCAGCCCACAAGGGAGCAAGTCACAACCATGCTGCCAGGGCACCTGCAAACCCCCACACTTCCCCTGCTGCCAAATTTATACGGTCTGTTAAAAAAAAGTGATGGGAGGAGATGCAGGACCCAGCTGGGTTGGGGGGCAGGACTTTGCAAACGATCTCATGTCCCTCAGGTGGGAGATCAGGGCAAGTCAGTCCTTTCCCAGCGGGGGCCAGCTGGGAGCAGCAGTCATTTGCAGGAGCTCTGTGAGGGGTGGGAGCAGATTTTGGGGTGGTTTTGTGATACGGGTATGGGCTTGCCGGGCAGGGGCTAGGATCAGCTCCCTCAGTGCAGGCCAGGAGCAACCACATGAATTGCAACAATTTTCTGTCGCTGGGTACCTGCTCCATCTCTAATGTGGCTGTTAGCCTGGAAACCTAAGCCTGGGGGTTTATAGCATGGCTACAAGTGTTTATTTTCTGTGAAAATAAAGAGCTCTTGAGCACTCTAACAGCCCTCCTGGCTCTGCCCCCACCGCGGTGAAGCCATGGGTCTCCTCCCAGGCTAATGGTGCTGGGTTATTTCTAAATAATCTCATTTGCCACTACATGAACATGGAGGTGGAATCACATTTCTCTGAGGCTGCTCTAGAGTAAATTACAGCGTTGATGTAGGTGTTTGGCCAAAAAAAGAATTGCCTCCATTACTCTCTGACTGCCTTTAAGTAGCACCTAAGCTTTTTGTAAGGGCTCGGTGGTTTTGGGTTGCATGTAAATGCCATTAACAACAAGCTTTCGGCCAAAAGAAATAATTTCTCCCCTCTCCTCGCTCACCCGAGGACTTGTAGGAGACCAGATGGCCCCAGTGTTTGGGAGCGAGGTTTGGCAAAGGAGACATTTTTGAAAGTTGGACTTCGCTAAGATGAAACCTAGCTGTTGCTGCTGTCTTGCGGCCAACTCCTCTGCTTTTTTCTTTTTAAGTCTCAAGTCATGTTGCTTTATTACCCACTGAACAGACAAGATGCATAAACCTGGGTATGAAAGAAGTGAAATAGCCCAGTCCGCAGAACATGCTGAATTTTCAATGCCTCGAGGCTGTTGATTTGGGTTTTTAAAGTGCATTTCAGTGCTACTTGCTGCGATGTTATGTTCTTGTTTCTAATTCTGTAGGCGTGGGAGGCAGCGAGCTGCTCTCTGAAATCTTGCAATAAAAGCTTGGTATGAGGAGGAGGGAATTTATACTGTGGAAAATGCCCAAGCTTTGCTGTGAGAAATGTATAATGCTGATCTTCGGCTGAGAAAGATCATTTGCTTGTCTCAGATCCGGAGCAGGGTTATTTGAAGGTCGCGTGGTCCCCAGCAAGATGTGTTTGGTGGGACTGCCGGGCTGCCCTGGATGCGCTCGTCCCTGTCCCTCTGCGGGGATGAGCCAGCAGGCAGCAGCGGGCGAGGAGGGAGCTGTGCAGCAGGCAGGAGCCCACCCGTATCGCACCTTTATGCATAAATACTGTTCACATCCCCTCGCCCAGCAGGCAAGTTGGTTGGGGAGGCTTTATGGGAGAAGCAGATGCAGAGGCAGCTGCATAGCCGAAGGGACCTGCCCCCCCCTTTTTGGGTGACCGTTGCTGTTCAAGAACCTCAGCTCCGAGCCCTGGGGAAAGTGAGGTGTTTGCAGCTTTCTGGAGGTCCCTGCAGTGCCCATGGTTGGGTTTGTGCAGGCATTGCAAAGGGAAACCAGGGAATCAGGGCAAATAGAGGAAGGGAAAGTTGTTTGCTGTGGTGCCAATGAAGGACATTTTTAATGTTTTAAGCAAAACTCAAGGTTCAGAACCCGTGTGCGCTGCTGAGCAGCGTAGGAGAGACAGGGCCAGTATGAAAACCAGTGCTGTTCATTGGCAGGTCCAAAAATAAATCTGAGCTAGAAACCCAGAAGTTGTGTGTGGCTTGGAAGTTGGGTTCTGGTCAAGCTGCTGAGCAGGAGCATAAATCAGAGCAGACAATAAAGGAAGGGAGAAGCTGAACAAGTCAAAACAGCTTACAGAGAGCTGGACATGCGAAAGCAAATAGCCATGTTTCAAGTATGCCAAAAGCAAGAGAATGTGTCAGCAGAGCTGCCAGTTTCCTGGGGCAAAGGAGAAGTTGAAATTGTGATTGTGAAACACTGCGACTCCTGAGCAGGAGTCACCATCATTATGGCTGAAAGAAAGTCCTGGTCCCAGTCTGCTTGCTTAAGGTAACAAAGAGGAGGTCCTGTCAGGGGCAGGGTTTGGAGAAGATGTTCAGGTGCAAGCTGATGGCTTGAAAAGTGTTTAGCCTCTGCGTCCAGATGGTTCACCCAAGAGTTCTGCAGAAGCTGGGCTGAAAGCTGCAAACAAACATATGCATTTCTGCATTAAAACCAGCTGCTGTCCTGTGGAGCTGGAGGCTTTGCCCATATTTTAAGACAAGCTTTAGGATCGGTCCAGACAGTGATGGTTAGAAAGATGTGGGGGAGCTGTTCCTGGCAATTTGATAGGAAAGATAATTAACAACAGAATGAGAAAACACCAGGAGGATGAGGAAAACCAGTAGAGCCCAAGGACATGCTCACATTTCTGTATTGGAGGACGCTGTCTCATTGCTCTGTTAGAGTTGTCTTGTGCCAGCGAAGCCCAGGGTAAGCAAGAAGCAGCTGGTATAATGAACACTTCAGTCCTGCACGGGAGGCTGTCAAAGAGCTGAGCAGAGGGACTCACAGCAGATTGCCTGGGTAAAGAAAGCAAGCGGCCCCAAAAAAGAGCCAGGCAGCGTCCTATGACACCTAGAAATCAGCCTGGAGAGTAGCAGCCCTGTTAGGCTGGGCTGTGTGTCCAGCCCTTCTCCTTGGGTTAGCGTGGGTTGGGGTGGGTTTGGGCAACAGTGGCTGCTTCTGAGGTTTGGCTGTGATCTGTGGCTCCCACCGAACCCCATCGGCCTGCCAGCCCACCGTGCTGGGGACCCCTCTGGCCAGGGGTGGGGGTCTCACTGCCGCTCTGCTCTCCCCCCGCAGGAAAGTCCCACCTGGCCATCGTGCAGCGGGTGAACAACGAAGGGGAAGGGGACCCGTTCTACGAGGTGATGGGCATTGTCACCCTGGAGGATGTCATTGAGGAGATCATCAAGTCCGAGATCCTGGATGAGACGGATCTGTACAGTTAGTGTCCCAGAGCAGCTACTGCGGTTGCAGGACCCAGGGTGGGAGCCCGCACAGACAGACAGACATGTGGGTAGGAAACAGGCCAGAGCAAATTGTGGTCCTTCCCCAGAGCAATTCACAGTCATGGTGGGAAAGACAAGGATGATGGAGAGATGCTGGTCAGATGTCAGGGAGTCTTGAATGCTCAAGACAGAGAAGCACCAGCACCACCAGCCAGTGGCTGGGCTGAGCCTGACCCAGGGACATGTGTGCTGGGCGTGAAGTGCCCGTGGGTGGTTCCCAAGCTCCTTTCCAACTATGGGTGATGCATCCAGCCAGGGCAACCCGGGACTTGTTCCTGACAAAGAAGCATGTTTCAGCACCCTGCTCCTTCCCCGGGGAGCTGCTCCCAAGGCTGTGATGCATGGCACGTTTTGCGTGCTCTGCAGCAGCCCTGCCATAGGGTGCGGCAAGACGTGCCTCTCTCCATATGTGCGCATGTGGTATGGGGCCCTGCAGCTGCAGTGGCTTTGTGGCTGCTGCAGGCGGGCGACTGCTCTGCTCTCTGCCCCGCAGCGGACAATCGGAAGAAGGAGCGGGTGCCCCACCGGGGACGCAAGCCCCAGGACTTCTCCATCTTCAGGCTCTCGGACAGCGAGATGAAGGTGAAGATCTCCCCGCAGCTCCTCCTGGCTACACATCGGTTCATGGCAACAGGTACCCTTGCCCGTGTGCAAGCTCTGCATCTCCCTGCAGCAGCACCAGCCCCGCAGGCCATCCCTGAGCTGTTCCTGGGTCGGGCTCCCCCCCTCAGTGAGCAGTTTCCACCTCTCTGGACCCCCACCCTGGGTGTCCTGCTGCTCTACCATCATGCGTCTGCATTTGGCTTCCCTCCGTGCAGCGGGGCGCTGAGGCTGAGGCCGTGCAGCTCAGAGGACAAGGGGTTCCTGGCAGCCCTGGCCCCACTGAGCAAGTGTGCGTTGCCTCCCCTCTAGAAGTGGAGCCTTTCAAGTCCCCCTACCTCTCTGAGAAGATCCTGCTGCGACTGCTGAAACACCCCAATGTCATCCAGGAGCTCAAGTATGATCGAAAGAACAAGAAGGCGGCAGAGCATTACCTCTACCAGCGCAACCGTCCCGTCGACTACTTCGTCCTCATCCTGCAGGTACCAGGGGCAGAGGCGAGCAGAGGGTGGCAGGGGGTGGTCCGTCTCCCCTTGCCACCTTGCTCTGGGCTGCTTCTACCAGCGGAGATGCCCGTCTTCTCGTACAGGGTGATGGAGGTCCCTGCAGCCCTGGGTGGGTTGGTGGCCAGGAGCATGGGGTGCCTGTCTGAGCAGGTTTTCCTTCCCCTTCCAGGGGAAAGTGGAGGTGGAGGTTGGCAAGGAAGGATTGCGGTTTGAGAACGGGGCATTCACCTACTACGGTGTCCCCGCCATCATGGCTGTCATCTCCTCAGGTAAGGGCTCTGTGGGCTCCCTCCAGCCCTGCCTTCACTTCAGCAGCCCCCACGGGGGCTAAGCTGGCTGGTGGCCAGGAGAATGGGCTGGCCGTGGGGTGGGGTGGCCCCGCTCAGGGCACAGGGCAGGCAGGAGCCCTTCCTCTGTGATTCATACACCTCCGACTGTCGTTTCAGATAACGACGTACGGAAAGTGGGCAGCCTGGCTGGATCCTCCTTCCTACGTAAGTATTTCGGGATAGGCTGGGGCTCTAAAACCTCTCCTCTGTGGCACCAGCTGGCTGGAGGAGGGATGGGTTTGCACCCTGCAAAGAGCAGCTTGGGCTCTGTGCTGAGGTCGCCTCCTTTTAAAAACCTCAGTGGAGAAACAACACACTCAGGGGCTGATGCAGCCAAGTCCCTGTGGAGGGACTTTGAGGTCCCTTTGAGGTTTCAGCCGTGCACTGGATCCCTGCGGGTGGATCCCAGCACAGATGGTGCTGCAAGGGGCACTGCCCGTGGGCAGCAGCGTGCCCACACGGATGGGAGCAGTAAACCCGGCAACTTCTGGCACAGTGCGTCTAGGTTTCAGCCTAACATCTCTGGACCTGTTTGTGTTCCCGAGGCTCGGGGCATGAGCTGAATGTGGGTCCCCTGCCAGGGGAATGGGGGCTGCTTGGGACTTGGAGAGATGGGTGAATTTACCTGTGAGCTGTTCGCATGTGGTGGTGGTGGAAATTAGCTGAGTTAAAAGTAGATGCCCCAGCCCTGGTAAATTCCTTGCCTGCAGAGCTGATGGGTTACCGAGCAGGTCCCCTGCTTGCAGGAGTTAAGAGGAATCTCTGATTAGGGGAGACTCTGAGCCCCCCCGCTTCTTTGCTGATCACCCCTGCAAATGTTTAGTCCCTGGTGTCTTGGGAGCAGGTGGAGGTGCTGCCCACCCCCAGTCCAGCACACCCCTCACCCCAAACCCCATGTGCTGCAGTTGGGTCTGCAGTGCTGATGGTAAGGTGAGGATGCTCTGGGTGCCTAATCAAAACAAGAACCCACTATATTCAACCTTTAGGCAGGCGTAGAGTGAGATGTGATTGAGAGAACAGGGCGAGTCCCTCGGGGCAGGTGACTGTCACTGCCGTGGGTCCCAGTCTGCATGCAGCTCTAGGGTTCACCTATTTCTTGCTGCTTGCTTTGCTTCCATTCCAAAGGCTGGTTTGTGGACTACCGGATTAACCCCTCAGTCTGCTTCCCTGCTCCCCCGTGCATCCACAATGCACTCGAAAACAGCCAATTTCCCCCAGGGTGTTGCTGCATGGCCTGACGCCCCCGCCCCCAAGGCCCCCCCTGGGGCTCAGGCAGCGAGCGCTGCCCACAGGCAATGGGGCAGGCAGGGTGCAGGCCATGGCAGGAGCTCGCTCAGGGCTCCTTTGCTCCCTGTGCTCACGCGTGACGCTGTGTCAAGAGATGTTTTCCGCCACCCCTGCCTGCCGCGGGAGGCGTGCGGTGTTGTGCCCCTGGCCGGCGAGGAGGCAGAGGTCGCAGGGTGTTCCCCTTGCCGGGCTGGCGTTCTCCTTCCCCCTGGAAGCAAAGCCCAGCAGAAAGGACTGTGAGTAGTGTGTCACAGTGGAGAATTCAGACGTTAACCCTTGAGCATTTAACAATTTGTTATTAATTAACCATTGTTATGCAACTGTTTTATCGCCAGGCAAGCTTTTGCATTGGTGGCCAGGGCAGGGGTGCGGCAGCAGAGACCTGGCACGGCCAGCCCCGCTGCGGGAGGGTCAGGCGGCGAGAGCAGGGAGCCAGTGCTAGTGGTCATCAACGCGTCCTTTGCTCCCAGCTGGATGAGGTTGTGCTGGGCAGTGCTTTGTGCTGGTGCCTTTGCTTGGACTTTTATTTGCACACGGTTTCAATCCAGGGGAGGATGAGGAACAGGAGTTACTGGGGGAGGAGCAGGGAGATCAGAAGGAGGGGGCTACTGGGCAAATTTCCTGGCTGTTTTACCTTCAAAGCAATTTAAAAATATTAATCTCATAGGCAGTAGATGGTTCCTGAAGTGCCGCAGCCACACTGCGGGCACAGTGGCTGGCGGGAGGGCAGCATGCCCTGGGCAGGAGGGCCGGCAGCTGGGGAAGCGTGGCTGGGGCTGGAGGAGAGGGCTGGCAGCCAGCAGGCTCTCGTCTCCGACTGCTCTCGAGGTGGGCGCTGCCAGCAGTGAGGGCAAAGATGAGGCATCAGGAGATGTGTGCATCACTCATGCTGCGTCTTGGTCTCTCCATGCTCCCCCATGGAGCCCTGCACCCCTGTGGCATGGCCCAGAGGTGATGCCGTGGTGGGGAGGGGAAATGCCTGCCCTTGAGATTGTCACTGCTGCTGCAACACATGGCAATAAAACGTGGAAAGTGAATGGCCAGATTTGCCCTCTCTGTGGCGAGGGGTCAGGCAGCCCCTGATGTGGGGTCCTGGCTTCTTGCGGTTCCCACATGAAGCAGCTCACGGAGGTGGGTGGCTCTTCTCGGCATTGCCCCAAGTCTGTTGAGAGCCAGGGCCTTGCAGGGTGCTGCAGGCAGCCCAGCACAAATGCCTTTGCTTTGCCTCATGCTGAGGGGCTCCTGCCAGCCCCTGCCTGCAGCTATGGGGCTGTGTGGAGGCAAGGGCTGTTGCAGAGCATATTCCCTCTCTGCCACTTCACCCACAAGCATCCCAGATGCCAAGTGACTTGGTTTAGCTTCAGCTCATCTCCCCGGTGGCAGAAGCTGACCACAGAGTCCCCTCTCCTGGCAGTGGCTGGCGAAGGGCTGGAGCAGGGTGCCAGCACTCAGCCAGTGGGAGGGAGATGCTTTCCGCCCGCACCGCAGCTCTAGGGAGATGTGTGGCTGTGCAGACAGGCCTGGCGGGAGCTGGTCCCCCCCAGCCTCACCTTCTCGTACCCCATCATAGAGCAGCCTGTTGATTTACAGCATTCAAGTCTGTGTCCCTCCCAGTGTCCCTGTCCCCAGGGCTGGCGAACACCTCCCTGGAGCAGAAGCAGGAGGGTGTAAGATGGGTGGGAAGGGATGCTGGAAGTAGTGGTGGGAGCCCAGCCTGGGGCTGCTGGCACGTGATTCTTTTTCTTATTCTTCCTCTTGGTCTCTCCTCCCCCCTCACCTCCATGCCTCACCTTCCTCCCTCCTTCCTGCTCCCTCTCTCTGCAGTGCCCGTCTCAGTGTCCCGTACCTTTGCCTTCAGCAGAGGGGACTCCCTGGCTGGCTCTCCAGGTAACAGGGCATGGCTTTGGGCAGGGACCTCCACATGTGCCAGGCTCTTTCCAGCTCACTGTGCACGGTGCACCAAGCCCCCTCCACCCTGCATGCTGGGCAGTGCCAGGAGAGAAGCACCCATGGCACCCCACGCCAAGCAGCCCCTTGCGGGTTGGAGCATGGGTGGCTAATGGGGGAGAGCAGCCCTGTCCCTGCTGCAGCCTCCTCAGTAACATGCAAATCCCAGGAAGAATGGGATGGGGACAAGGGCTTTGGCTTTCTTTGGTGGGCAGGTTCTGTAATTTCCAACACTCAGTGCATTCCTTGCTATTTGCTGCTTCTGACAACAGCTCTGCATGCACGCTGCCCTGCTTCCTTTGATTTCTGGCAATCTGGGTAATAGAAGGGCATTTTAGCAGCAGTGCAAAGTCAGCGAGATGTTGATGTCACCCCTGCAAGGAACAAACTGCCTTTGTTCCCTAATAAATCACTGACCAGGCAAAATCCATCACGCTGCCTGTCAGAGGCCATCAGTCAACGTGAGTGATGGGCCAGCTTGCCATGACAGCCTTCTGCTCCTGTTCTCTTGCAGTCGGGGTGGACAGGAGCCTGCCCTTGAGGCAGGTTAAGTAAACCCCTATGGGCTGCCAGCTGCAACCAGGAGAATTTGTGCCAAATGCCGTGCAGAAGGCCTGCGCTAGCAGGAGGGCTGTCAGTCAGTCGGTGTGACAGGCAGGCAGCAGCCCTAACCTCTGCTGCCGGCGTCAGGTCAGGTGCCTGCCTGCCCGGTCCCTTTGGTTTGCGTGGGGCTGGCATGGCACAGAGCCCCCGCCACCAGCGTGCACCAAGGAGGACCCCACTGCAGGTCCCTGTAAGTCCCCTGCCAGCCCCGGTGTGCATGGGGCACAACCGCTGGAGGTGACCGGTGCACCCTGGCCCAGCACCGGAGACACAAGTGGCACCACAAGTGAGAGTGAGTGTTTGCCTCCCTGCCGTCCCCTCCTGCAGTGAACAGGTCACCGTCACGGTGCAGTGGGCTCAACCGCTCCGAGTCCCCCAACCGGGAGCACAACGACTACGGGGGCAGCACCACACAGCTCCACAGCAGCAGCAACAACATCTACACCCCCGACTACTCCGTGCACATCCTCTGCGACGTGCAGTTTGTCAAGGTACCAGCTGGGCTGGCAGGGACTGTCCCACCCTGGCCACCCCTGCCCAAGGCACCCTCTTGCCCCGTGTGCCCCAGGAGTCTGGTGGGTGCCCAGTGGGTGCTGGAGGTGGGGGGGGGTT